GCCTTGTGGGCCTGTACTATAACACACCCATCCTGGGCTTAACTTAGGCCTTGTGGGCCTGTACTATAACACACCCATCCTGGGCTTAACTTAGGCCTTGTGGGCCTGTACTATAACACACCCATCCTGGGCTTAACTTAGGCCTTGTGGGCCTGTACTATAANTAGGCATTGTGGGCCTGTACTATAACACACCCATCCTGGGCTTAATTTAGGCTTTGTTCTGTGTCACCCAGGAGTTTCATGTAAAAGTGTGTGTTTGTACCCCACCCAGATTGTGTCCTACCTGCTTGACTTGCCAGAGAAGGACGAGGAGGAAGTGGAGCGTGCTCAGATCAACAGCTTCGACACGCTGTGGGGGGAGACAGGTATGATCCACAGCATTACTGACAAAGGTCCTTAAAATGCTGCTCTCTCTCAAAGGGTTCAGCTTCTGTGCAGTAAGAGATAAAAAGTAATAAAGCAACACAAGGTGAATTTCACTGCAAAAATACTTAGGAAGTGGCAATGCTGCCTGTCTGCGCTGGGTGGGGCCAGTGTGACCCCATGGGGCCCAAGGCCCCTACTTGTTCTGCGGCAGGTATGAGCCGTGCATCCGATAGCTCATGAACTCAGCAGAGCGGTATGCATCCACAGCACCCGCATAGCAGAAGAGGCTTTGTTTACAGTATAATTGCTGATTGTTTACCACTTGATTGTTTATTTCTTGGGATCACTGGAGGGGTGCGGCGTGCTCGGGAAGGGCAGCGTGGGTGGGAGGGGGGCTTGAGGCTGATGCAGAGCTCGCATCCCTGATGGAATCGTGTTCTTAAAAGGACAGGCCGTCCTAATTCAATTTCAGGTAAAATATACCTTCCTGAAACTGGTACATTACGTCATAGGGCGGTATGATTGATGAAGGATTAAAAAAAGGTACATGTTAATGTCTGCAAACCTGCTGATTGCATTTCATGCATAAAATGAGATGGAAATACTGGCTAGTCATAAAACACAAGCGAGAGTTACAGCTATAGTAGCTGTAGATGGCGTAAATAAACGTTTCCTGACCTGACTCCACAGTCTGTACATGCATGTTTTAAAAATTCTATTTAGAGTATCGATTTTTTTAATTTGAAATTAATTTTTTAATGAATTTTTTAAATGCCAGTTTATAGAGTTGCGAGCGCTGTAATTACAGTGCATCTTATCCCTGTTATTTTTGATAGACTGTGATCTTGCTTAACCGTGGAAATGGATGTTTTGCATATTAGCAATGTCACGCTGTGGCAAATGCGGCTTTTAAAATATAAATATCGCTGGAGGAGCTCTTCTGGTTCTTCGTATCTTGGCAGTGGTTTTGTTGTCGAAAACTCCTCTGAACTCGAGTGACAGCTGCGTGATGAAGGATGAAAATGAGTCCGAAATGTGAGCCTAGCTGTCTGGTTCCGGAAACACAGAACGTTCTCAAACAGTCAGAGCAGTGTTCTGGCTCAGTTTCCTGGGCCATGTGCTGGAGTTCCCCCTTCTGTCAGGGCGTGGCAACACGCGGTCCACTGCAATGCAGATAGGAGGGTCGCCGAGAGAGCGAGGGCCCCCTGGAGCGCCTTCCCCTGACAGTCGCTGCTGATTTATCTCACACTCAGTATCTTTTGCCAGATTAGTGTGCAACTAAAAAAAAAAAAAAAAAAAAAAAGCACTCAGTATGCAGGGAGGCCGAGAGAGTGGCTGGGGCTTGTGGATGAACAGTCGTGTGTGAAATCCCTGCTGCTCTCTGTGTGATGTAATTGTTCAAATGTATCATTTTCACTCTTTCAGAAAACCCCCCTCAAGTACCTTTCAGGTTTCATTGGTGTACCAGTGCTATGGCATGGAGTCTCTCTACTGGTGATGCTCTTAGTGTCGTGTTGATGTGTGAACCCCCCCACCACCCCTCCCCCCCAAATTCAGGGCTTTTATCACTAATGAAAAAACAAAAACTATTTTAAAGAACTGCAACTAAAAACTACAGCTGAACAAAAACTGTATACATTGCCCCTGAAGTCAAATTACTGTGCACTGGTATTCATGTAGGATTCTCTAAACATCAGACACATCAAATGCAGGGGTTGAACAATGAAATTTAAACACTGGCCAAAATAGTGTTTGAAGTTTCACACATATATATGTGTGGCCTGGTGGCCAGTCTTCACTGATTGCACATGTTAACAGAAAGAGCAGAGTATGAAGGTTAAATTAGCAGAGCAATAACAATAAGTATTGCGATCCACACAACATAATGGAGACATGTCAGAGTTGAAAAGAGGACACGTTGTTGGTGTGTGTCTCGCTGACGCATCTGTGAGCAGGTCTTTGTGGCATATCGAGAGCCACAGTGTCCAGGGTAATGTCGGTCACGCCCCCTCAAAGGACAGACCACATCCAACAGGAGTAGAAAGCTTAGGACATCCGGGTACTAACACAAATTATATCCAAAAAACATAAAACCACAGCTGCCCAAATCACTGCAGAGTTAAATGCACAGCTCGACTCTCCTGCTTCCACCAAAACTGCTCATTGGGTCTCCACAGGATCAATATTCATGGTCGGGCTGCTATAGTCAAACCTTTGGTCACTCATGCCAATGCCAGACGTCAGATTCAATGGTGCGCGGAGCACATATCTTGTGCTGCGGACAGTATGAAGCATGTATTGTTCTCTGATGAGTCCACCTTCACTTTCTTTCCCACATCTGGGAGAGTTATGGTGTGGAGAAGCTTAAAAGAGTGCAGCACAGTGGTGGGTCAGTGGATCAGTGATGATTTGGGCTGCAAAATCATGTCATTCCCTTGCCCAAACTACTTGTTCTAGATGGGCACATCACTGCCAAGGACTACCAATCATTTTGGAGGACTATGGTCACCCAGTGGTTCAAACATTGTACGCTGAAGGTGGTGCCGTGTATCAGGATGATAATGCACCAGTACACACAGCAAAACTGGTGACAGTGGTTTGATAAACATGAAAGTGGAGGTGAACATCTCCCATCACCAGATCTGAATATTATTGAGTCACTTTGGGGTGTTTTGAAGGACCGATGTTTTCCTCCACCAGCATCACATAGTGAACTGGCCACTGTTCTGCAAGAAGAATGGCTGAAAATCCCTCTGGCCACTGTGCAGAACCTGTATCTGTCATTCCCAAGATGAACTGATGCTATATTGGCCGTAAAAGGAGGCTCTACACCATACTAACAAATTATTGTGGTCTAAAACCAGGTGTTTCAGTTACACTGTCCAGCTGTATAACTTTCAGTTTATCCTTAGAAATAAAATGACTAAAACTTAAACTGAAACTAAAATATATAAAAATTAAATAGAAATTTATCTTTAAAATAAAATCTAATAAAACCATACAGAAAATTAAAACTAAAATGGATTTCAAATTAAAGTTAAAAGCAATATAAAGCCACGTAAAACGACATAAAAATCGAAACTCTAATAAAACTGCCCTCCATTTTCACCCTCCGCCCCCCAGCCCTGACAGCGGCAGCGGGCAGGGGTAAGCTGGAAGTGTGCCGGCTGCTTCTGGAGCAGGGGGCCGCTGTGGCGCAGCCCAACCGGCGTGGAATCGTGCCCCTCTTCAGCGCTGTGCGGCAAGGCCACTGGCAGGTGGGTGACGCGGGGGGGCTGTGGGTCTGGAAGGGAAACCAGAAGGCTATGGGTTCGAGTCCCATGGTGGGGTCTGTTACAATATCCTCAGTACATCCGTCCCTAACTTCTTATTCAGTGCAGGGATACGTTTGAGGTGTTTTCTAGCAAGCACTAGACATGAGGCAAAGGACATTTCAGAGCAAAGAGTCACACACAGTATGGGCAGCTTAAAGTCAACAGTGTGTCTACCTGCAAGCTAGTGGACTACAGGAGAATACACATAGAACACAGACAGAGAAAAGCCAGTACAAACACAGGAAGCACGCAGACTTCTCACACAGGGACAGGGACGGGACTCAAACCCCAACACCTCGTGGTGTGAGGCTGTAATACAAACAATCAATGATTTCAGTAGAATATTCACCTGTCAGTAGATCATTTTGTTAAATCCTTCATGCTGTGGGGGCATTTCCCCATAAGCTGCCAGCGCTCTCTGCGGTGATGTCATACCCCCCATGTGCTGCATGTGTCTGTCACCCAGATTGTGGACCTGCTGCTGACTCATGGCTCTGATGTCAACATGGCGGACAGGCAAGGCCGCACCCCGCTGATGATGGCTGCGTCCGAGGGCCACCTGGGCACCGTGGAGTTTCTGCTTGCCCAGGGTGAGGAGCATGGTGTCACCTTGATGAGATCGATGCAGGAATTAAGATGCCGATCTCCGCAGGACAGGGGGAGTCACGCTCCTACATCCTCTATGATGACAGCAACCTGGCATGACACTTTTGATAATTAGCCATTAAAGACAAAACAAGCCTGATCTGTTATTTGCTCTCCAGCTGGAAAAGAAAGTTCAGTTCTAGCTCATGGGAGTCTTACTTATGCAAAAATGTTCTGAGCCCAGCAAAAATGATTGGTTCAGAGAGATAACCTGATTGACTAACCAACCAGATGTCTTTGTCCCACCTTATTTGCTTGGATCCACCTCCTCTACAATCTGACTCTACAATCTCCTCTACAATACTCTCTCTGAACCAACCATTTTTCATTTGTCCTCAGAACATTTTTGTAGAAGTGTAACTCCAACATGCTGTATGCTGGCTTTTTCTGGTTCTCTCATATGCAAGTTTGGATGTAATGGTTGACTTACTTAGTCATTCTGAACAGGTGCGTCCCTGTCGCTCATGGACAAGGAGGGTCTGACGGCCCTGAGCTGGTCGTGTCTCAAGGGTCACCTTCCCGTAGTTCGCTCTCTGGTGGAGCGGGGGGCGGCGACGGATCACGCAGACAAGAACGGCCGCACCCCCTTGGACCTGGCGGCCTTTTATGGAGACGCTGAAGTGGTGAGTGGCCTCCTTCTGGAAGCCTCCAGCCTTCACAGACTGTGAAGCTTGTCTCCCTATAAACGTGCTTGAAGGTCAAGATAAATCTGTGGTTTAAGATACAGATGTGTTCACCTCCCCCATCCAATCCAGGTTCAGTTCCTCGTGGACCACGGGGCGATGATCGAGCACGTGGACTACAGCGGCATGCGCCCCCTGGACCGCGCTGTGGGCTGTCGCAACACCTCGGTGGTGGTGGCGCTGCTCAAGAAGGGAGCCAAGATCGGTAGGGTGGCCAGAGACCGCCAGCTGGGTGTCGGGACCGGGCCGGGGGGTGTCAGGTGCAAGGATGAGGCGTGGGGCTGGGGCAAGGGGTGCAGGGGTGGGGGGGTGCGGGGATGGGACACGGGAATTGGGGGAGGGGGTGCCAGGTGCAGGGATGGGATGGATGGGTGCTGGGATGGGTGCAGGGATGGGGCCAGGAGATTCAGGGTGCAGGGCACAGGAGTGAAGTGAGGGGTCTCGTGGTGTGGGACACAGGGACGTAGTGGGGGGCTGAAGATTCGAGGTGGGGGTGGGGGGCACAGGTGGCTCCGGGTGAGAGGTGCTGCTGAGAGACATGGATAATGAGAATGTGAAGTTAATGTGCGTTTGTGGGGATAGCTGGTGTGGGTGGGGGGTGTCATGTAAGGAGAGAATAGCCAGCAGACAGGCTGCTTGGCCAGTATGTCATGTCAGATTTAATGTCCCAGCAGTCTGACGGATGGACTGTATTCACTCAGCGAGCACTCAGGGGCCGCTGTGTCCCAGGGACCCCTGATAACTGTCCCCAGACGGGGCGACACCCATGTTCCCCGGATACCCCAGCTGCACTCATTCGGTTTTCACTTCGGAAAACACGTTCTGGTTAGCGGCCGCTGCGCTGAGCTCGGGAGCAGCGGCAGGCAGAAGCCATGCCACAGTGACCTGCTGGTGACGTGAATCCCCAGCATGCCGTTGGGCGCCCCGAGGCTGGGCTCAGGTGCACATTGTGTTGGAGTTTTATCTTGGCCCAAATCGCACACCTGCCTGTTCTAACACAGCAGTGCTGCGGAGGATGTTTCGGCTTAATACTGAGGGGGGCGTATGGTCACCCCTCTTCAGCAAAGCCAGATCCCTGTTAGTGTCACACTGTGGCCCCCGTTTCCTATAGTATACAGCTACCCTCCCAGCCTGCCATCCCCCCTCCCTGCCGCTTTTCCCAGCTGTACTCCGTGTCCTTCCTTGCGACTGCTGCCGCGGCTCTGGCGCCCCCTGGTGGCAGCAGGTTGTTGGTGCTGTTGTTTCTCCTTCTCCTTCCGCTGATGCCCCTCTGCCCTGCTTCTCACGGCTGCTTCTGTCTGTTCTTTTCCTCATTCCGCCTCCTCCTCCACATTCTCTTTTGCACACGTACCTTTTCTGTTTTGTTTGGTTATTGTTACCACGGTGACACCCTCCCCCCCTTGCTTCCTCATGACTCCGCCCCTCCCCGGCCCCCGCCTGTCCCTGTGGCACCAGGATGTCAGACGCTTCCCAGTCGGCCGCGAGGTAAACCTGAGGCCGTGTGGGCCCCCCTCCCCCCGTCAGGCGTTTCAAAGGCTCTCTCTCCTCTCTTTGTGTTGTGGTGCTCCTTAAAGGCAGGCAGGCTTTGCAAACAAACACACTTGCCCCCCCCCCCCCATCCCCATAGCTGTCCACCCCTCCAGGTATTAGCACTGAACCTTGTGCAGCATCTATTCCGGGCGGGGCACAGCCTCCAATTTAGATGGCGTATTCCTGATCTCTGTGTCATCAGCCTCTAAGTGCATGATTTCCTCCCCTGCACTGCCCCCTGCTGGCGTTCGGTGGGATTGCATGGAATAAGAATTCCCGGCGGCCAGCATTCCGCTCAGCCTGATCTGCATGAATTCTACGACGTCTGCCGGACTTCACTCTATTGGCCAAGGTTTCCGCTAATGCCTGGGGGCACGAACAGATACAGCCAGAGATGTGTGGGTTGTTCCCCTGTAAACAGACCTTAGCTCAGCCTGCACTGTGTCATGTTTGCCACCTTGCCGCGCCTTTCGTCCGGCGGTCGATTTCCTCTCTCGGTGTGAACATCTGTCAGACATCTTTGTTGCAGAGAAAGGTGCGCTTTAGCTGAACCAGCACTGACTCCCAGTGAAACCAAGGTTAGTGTCCAGAGAAAACAGCATGTGAGTGTTAGCATTCATGGCCCTTTCAGATGAAGAAGTTTCAGTTCAGTTGCTGTAAGTAATTTCATTTGGGGATGTTTAATAACCTCCTCCGGGATGCTTTTATTGATTAAAGCTGGATTTTTCCTGCTTTTGCTGAAATGAGCGGAATTATATTAGATCTTCTTCTGCCACGCTGGTAATGAGGTAATGTAATCTGCTGTAATGCACCAGGCTGAACCCTGTGATACTTAGCGCAGAAATTGCGGTCAGATTTCTCTGAATCCCCCCCACCTGCCGGCCTCCTACACCCCTCTACAGTAAAGTCCATTTTAAAACAATGCAGTAGTATATTCGGCATTGTTCCCATATCAGATCAGAGGTGTAATTGTAGTGTCAGTTGATTGGCCGGTTTGAGGTTGGGGGGGTGCAGTATAGTAGAGCTCTCATCTCCATATATAAACAAGTGATGGAGGGGGGGCAACAACCCACTATAGTAAGGACTTGCTACTGAGTCTGACCACACCCTGTCGCCCCTTCTGATTGGTGAGGAATAGTTAAAGCGGCCAATCCAATGACTTAACAGAGTTATCAGAAAAAAGGCCATATTTTGTGTTTGATATCACTTAAAAAATGGAATAATTTTGAACTTGATGAAACTGTGAGCCTTTTTTCGTAATAAATTGCATCAGACATGAATCCAAAGCCACTGAAAGTTTCTGTGCAGGGGGGGGGGGGGAAATAGGTGCAGTTTTTTTCAGAAGGACAAATTGTGTCCGTATCAAAGGCGTGACTCATTCCGTGACAGAAAGGGGAGTGGAGACAGGTGTGTTAGGATCTTAGTAATGAATTAGGAGGAAATCGAGTCGCCTTGTTTGTACACTGGGGGGGAGGGGGGTGCTGGCCGACACCACAGGTGGGTGCAGCCCTGGGCCGAAGCCTGTCGCCGGTCGCCTCCCGATGGGGGTGTCAGGTAGACGTAGGAGAGCACGCTTCTCTGCAGCAGCTCCATGTCCTGCCCCCACCTTCCTTCCACGGCAGGTCATTGTCGTCATCGTTCGGTGTGGTCTGCTTGCAGCTTCTCTCTCGTAGTCGTCGTCCACACTGTGCCTTGTAAGACACCCTGCATCCTATCTCTCTTGTGTTGTCTTGTATCTCTCTTCTTTTGTTCTGTTTTTGTTTTGTTTGCTTGTTTGTTTTTTGTTTCCTTTACACATCATGCACCCTGTACACCTCAGGTCCCGCCACGTGGGCGATGGCCACCTCCAAGCCTGATATAATGATCATTCTGCTGAGCAAGCTCATCGAGGAGGGGGATGCCTTCTACAAGGTGAGCTCCGCCCCGCCCCCCAATTTCTGCTACATTTTATTCACCTAGAGGGCCATCTTGGATTGAGGGGTGTACCTTTGTTCAGGTTTACCATAGCTCTTAATTATTTACTAATTTATCGAAACCGGCGACACTGTTATTCTGTGCAAACATGACCTGTGATAGCACACGTAGGGTGGTTTTGCTGTTTAATGGAAGTTTTTGGGTCACCTTTAATCTGGTCATTAACAAGCCCGCATCCTGTAAGCCTGCTTGAAATTTGGGTCCTTTCTGGCCTCTTCTGCCCTGAAGTTGCAGTTTCTCTGTACTGGGGCAGCTGTCCTGGTGACTTGAGGAGAATGGTGGTGGGGGGGGGGGCAATACGATGGGAAAACAAAAGGCAATAGACAGCAACCCGCTTTAGTTTCATACCATTGCCAGATTTCAGGAGAAATCCTTTTCATGGATATTCCGTTGTAATTCAGTTTATTTTTTTATAGCGCCTTTTTGAACAGAGTCCCAAGGGACCTGGGAAGAGTATGTGGCAGTGCAGTATTACACCATTTATACAGAATGGTGGCTTAAACAGAGGAAAAACAAAGAGGATATTAAAAATCTTACAAATGTATATTTTATTGTTTTCTTTGTAAGTAATATATAAGTTGTTTACAGAAATAGTAAAAAGATTTATTTTCTGTTGGATCGTGTATTTGAAAAAAAAATCATTTGATTAAAAGGGGCAAATCCAGTAGCGTTTTGGTTCTGGTTCCTTCCCAGCAGATGGGTTTGCCCACTCCAGCACCTGATCGTATCTTTTTCTGCTAGAAAGCAAGCTGGCTGCTTTTTCCCCCCACTCCTTTTTGAGTGTTTACACAGAAGCCAAGTGTTAATTAGTATTTAGGATTAGAATTCATTGTTAGCAAAATACAGACTTTTTCTGCCAACACAGTGCTGTCAAATTGGACAACAATGATAAAGCACTCAGCTGAGATCAACCATGAGGCCTGTTTTATTGTCGTCTAGAAGCACAGCTATCATAACGTTACTGTAATGTAAAGATAAAACTGGGTGTGTTCTAGCCGTAGCCATGTGCTCGTTACAGCCACCTGCTGGTTGAAATGTCTTACTGCATGTAGCCCATTTTGGAGACGTGTCCCCCTCAAAATTATTCGTATGGACCCCCCCACATTCAAAATGCTTCTGACGCCCCTGCAGACATAGAATACATAAATTGTCCCAGTTGGAATGGCTAAGTGATACATACTATCAGGCTGATTTTTCATGCTTGAAGTTATTTGAGTTTTCTTCTCACGCCTACGGATATTTTTTTCAGCAAAAACCAAAAGGAAGCAGATGTGATGCTTTGGGTTGTTACATCTGGCAACTTTCTGATGCCAGTCAGCAGAAAAAAAAGCACATTTTTCCCTAAAAGGCCCTGGCATTATATAAACAGTGAGGGCTTTTCGCTTCTGCTTCTCTGCTAATGGAAAAAATGTGTTTTGGTTTCTGATTTCACCCTCTTAATGTGATCTGTTTTCACAGTAATGTCAAAAACATTTTAAATGTGTTTCTCTTGCCATTGCTAAGTATGTGAAACACTTGATTTTGTGTAATAGCTTCCAGTGATTGTAATGATTTATGAGAGGTTTTGGATGCTGTTTTTCATCTTTATTTCAGTAGAAACATTAGCTCCCGGTTCTGCTGTTCTCCTTCACGTAATGATGCATTAAGTTGGCATTCTCACCTTTTAGACAGAGAGCACAAGCTTACCGATTGGTTATTGTTGCTTACACAGTTTTATATGCTATAATGAAATTCAGTTTATACACTGGGATGTTACTGGTCCCTGTTTTGAGAAGTTTACAGGCTGACTGACAGTGTCTTATGCAAATATTCACCCAGATGTTTCACGTTTTGTGGTCTTACAACCTGGAATTAAAATGAATTTCCCTGCAATTTTTAACCTTAAATTTATACAACGTATATAACACCACTTTAAGATACTCCAATGTGTTTTGGGTCTTCTGAAATCTTTTCTTTGATTTTGACCATTTTCCCTGCTGATGTAATGTTTCCCCACAACCTGCTGCTTCACCATGGACGGAGTACTCTCAGAGTGATGAGCAGTTTCACACCATGCTTCACCATGGACGGAGTACTGTCAGAGTGATGAGCAGTGTTTATTATATGCTTCACCATGAACATGGCGTTCTCAGATTAAGCAGCCACACATAGGATTTTGCACCACAGCTAAAAAGTTTTAGTCTTACAATGTCAGAGAACACTTTTCTACATATTTGCTATATTTCCCACATACCTATTTAGTGTAAATCTATGACATGAAATCCAGAGTAAATCCATTTTAATTCCAGGCTGTGGAATGTACGAATGCTGTTGACAGACATGGATGTCCCGTTTATGTAGAAAACCTGTGTGTCTAATGAGACCACTAGTGTGACCGTGGTAAACGTGGGCTGCAGCCCCTCTCCAGTGCCTTGCTGACCCCCCCAACAATACTTACATTTGTCTGCTGCAGAAGGGGAAGGTGAAGGAGGCTGCCCAGCGGTACCAGTATGCCCTGAAGAAGTTCCCGCGTGAGGGCTTCAGCGAGGACCTCAAGACCTTTCGCGAGCTGAAGGTGTCCCTGCTGCTCAACCTGTCCCGCTGCCGCCGGAAAATGAACGTGAGTCATGGGGGCCACCTCGCCCCATCCCCAGCAACACCCACCCCACCCCCTGCATCGCACTCCCTCGCCTGTCCCGCCCCTGCAGGTTGGTCTGCACTGTCCCATGGCTTCCCATTAAGTTAGATGGTTGTTAAACTCATGCCCTTTAGCTCCTAAGACACATCACTGTTTATCTCAGGGCTGCACGCATGGTAAAATTCCCATACAGCAGTGTTTCCCAATCCAGTCCCGGGGGAACCCTTTAGGGAGCGAAAATGTGGGCTGTCTGACAGAGAGCTCAGAGGGAGCAAAAACATGGACCGACTGTGGGTGCCTGAGGACCGGGTAGGCAAACACTGCCATACAGCAATATCACAAACATGTCCCTGCAGCTGTTTGGCTCTAAAGCGGTAACAGCACAGCCTTCATATGCCCTCATGTTTCTAGGACAAACGGCGCTTTGGTCACGTAGAGTGAAACGCTGCCTTCGGAATGCTGACAATTATGCTTTAACTGTAACCATAAATGCCTATAAAATGACCTGTGAGAGAACCGGCTTACTGAGTCGGAGCCTTTTTATAGATTAAATACTTGAACCCGGGAGGGTCGGTCTTCTTAATTTGGACAGTGTTATGTGTCCCTAACAGCCCACAGTTATGGTTGAGAGGGCCTAACAGTTCAGGACCGTATCTTAACACTCACTGCGTTCCATGCCTGTTTTTCCATTTGATATTGTTCATGGGTGTGATTTCTGTTGGCGGATCTTTAGGCAGTGTGTTTCTGTCAGTGCCAGAGGCGAGTCGGGTTTTTAGGGAAGCGGAGGTCGAATGGTCAAACAGAGCTTACAACGCTCAAGTTTGCTGCCTCTTGTCTATGTGTCAGAGTTGGGCTTCTTCATCATAAGTTACAGTACTGGGAACCAAAACTCACTCAGTCCTCATGTAACCCATCAAAGATCTTAATTTCTGTGTAAGTTTTGGAAACTTTTCTTGAAAACATATCCCGTGGACTGAGTGAGGTTTGGAAATTTGTTCTTCAATTATCCTGTCTTCTTTTTTAGTGTGTTTTCTTCTGTTACAAAAAAAAAAAAAAAAGTCATTCTGTGTTGAAGTTTTATGATGTGTGTCTGGGTGAATAAAAGCAGATGGAAATTGCTGCTGGGGAGCAGGATCTGTGCTCGCTGTTGGTTTAGTGCGAGACTTTGGCTGCTTCCAGGACTTCGGAATGGCTGAAGAGTTCGCCACCAAGGCTTTGGAGCTGAAGCCCAAATCTTACGAGGCCTTTTACGCCAGAGCTCGAGCCAAACGCAGCAGCAGGTAACTGGAGTGGGAAAGGGGGTCATGTTGGGGGTGGCTTTGTAAGAGGCAAGCAGCTCATCCCACTGCTGGCAGACAGCCAAAGGTGTATCACATTACTCCACATTACTCACTGCATGGGTCACATGGCCTGGTGCCACTAATGATGTCACTGATATATCAAAACACAGCACAGTCACATTGTATTTCGCTTAGCATGCATTAGTAAAGCATATTTTAACCTGTTACTCTTGGTTTGTTCAGGTTACTGTTTTTGCAGTTAAAACAATTGTAAAATGCTCCCATTTTACAAAAATGCAACAGCAACCAAAAGTAACCAGCAACACTTTTCAACTTTTTTGTTTTATTAAATTTGTTTGCAAACTAAATAAAACAAATGTATCATCTCCAGTCATAGGTAATGATCACTATAAAAGACATAAAAGACAGATGACATAGTTCAGAAAATGTCAGAGATACCGTAAATCTTTTCCAGCCATGTACAGTACAGTATTTGAATGGTAACACATTTTCACATTATTATTTTGGCTCTGCACATCATCACGATGTATTTGATATAATGAAATAATATATGCCTAAGTAGTCTCAGTTTTAATTTAAGGCCATGTACAGCTACAGCGGGTGATGCAAAATTGCAAAAATTCTAAGCATTTTTATACATAGCCCCCCCTCAAAGGATTTGGACAATTAAATGTTTAGCTGCTCCACCTGCTCATGCACAAATAGCTGAGAAAGGGCTTGACCAAATTTGTGCTGCAACATATATTCCAGATATTCAAAAAAATTCTAATGTAAAATAGATTCAAGAAGGAAATTCTGTGTTTCATTAACTGGTTAATAACTGCAGTTCATATTCTGTTCGCAGCGTGGCGCCACTCTTCTCAGAAGTCGCAGACACATAACACACGAGTAATTGAACAGATAAGATGGCACGTACGAGTAGAGGTGGTCTTCCTAACACTGCTCCGAAGTGTGGGAGCACTTTCAAAACGTTGATAGCTTTTCTGTGCTAAAACCACATCTGCCAAATATTCAAATGTGAAAATATTTGATAGTTGCAGCCCTAGTCCAAATACTTAAGCACTATTAATTTACATTTTTATTAGTGATACATATACAAATGGCAAATCTTACTTTCCATCAGTTGTCACATGTGTAAGACATGGTACTGTAGCCCCGCCCACCTTCAGGTGTCTGTCCCCAGCTCCCGTTCACCTCAGTGTCCCCTCATTGTCCAGTCCGTCTCCCCCCGTTGTCCTGCATCTCACTCTCGTTGCTGTCGCTCCTTCCCCCTGCAGACAGTTCCCCGAGGCACTGGAGGACCTGAATGAGGCGATCAAGCAGTGCCCCAACAACCGGGAGATCCAGCGCCTCCTGCAGCGTGTGGAGGAGGAGTGCAGGCAGCTCTCGCAGCAGCAGCAGCAGCAGCAACAGCAGCAGGAACATGCGGAGGAGGAGCTGGAGCCACCGCCATCCCCATCCCCGCCCCCACCCCCGCCCCCTGAGCCCCGGCTAGAGGACATGGAGCCTGTGCAGGAGCTCTTTGAGGATGACGAGTACCTCGATCAGGAGCTAGAGGGCATGTCCATCGGTCTGCCTCTAGAACCGCGAGGCAACCCGGCCAGCCTGCCCATCATCCAGAGCCCCCCACCTTCCCCCGCACATCGGGACTCTGCCTACCTCTCAGGTGGCCCCCCGCTCGGCCAGGCCTTTGATTTCCGGCCCAGCCCCCCCTCCATGTCCTCCCCCACCCGCCAGGGCTACCAGTCCACCTCACCCTCCCTCTCCCCCACACACCAGAACTCCCACTACCGGCCCAGCCCCCCCCACACATCCCCTGCCCACCAGGTGTCCTCCTACCGCTTCAGTCCTCCTCCTCTAGCTGGCAGTGGAGGAGGAGGAGGAGGAGGAGGAGGAGGGGGTGCTGGGCAGGGAAAGGACTACCAGAGCCCCCCACCGTCCCCACTGCGCCGGGGGCCCCAGTACCGAGCCAGCCCCCCCGTGGAGACCGTCTGCCTCTACCGCTCGCAGTCCGGCTCCCCTGTGCGCTACCAGCAGGAGCAGATCCCGAGCCGGCCCAAGTCGCCGCTGTCCAAAATGAGCAGCCAACGCTCCTTCCAGCTGACCTCCCAGCCCTCCCAGTCCTCCCAGCACCACCAGCAGGCCCTCCGGCTGCAGCCTGCCATGGCCCAGATCGTGCGCACCAACCAGCCCAGCTCTGCAGTGCACTCCAGCTCGGTGATGGGCGGCGGAGGCTACGGGCAGATGGCGCACCCCATCAGCGGCCGCTACCAGGGGGGCTCCGTGGATGTGGAGAGCCGCCTGGTGTACCAGCCCTCCATAGATGGGCGGCCCATGCCGCAGGTACAGGCCAGCTTGAGCGCCGGCGCCCTCTGCCAGCATGGAGGCCGGCCCAGCGCCGTTGAGTCCAGCCTGGTGAAGGACGAGCTCCCGCAGCGGCCTTCCTCCGCATACCGGTCCAGCGGCGGCGGCCCCGGTGGCATGCGCTACAGCCAGACTCCCCAGATCAGCCGCAGCCAGTCGGCCGCCTACTACCCTGTGTCCAAGCATGAGCTGGAGCGGGCTGCTGCCCTCCCCCAGTGCCAACTGGGCTCGCCAGAGATCCCCCACCTGGTGCGCCGGCCCGTCAGTGCCAACACGGCCGAGATCAAGCAGCACCCACCCACGCCGCGGCCACTCATCCACTCGCAGAGCGTGGGCCTGCGTTTCTCGCCCTCCAGCAGCAGCATCTCCTCGGGCTCCGCCTGTAATCTAGCCCCCGGCTTCCGGCCCTCGGCCTCCATACAGCAGATGGAGATTCCCCTGCAGCCGTCCTACGAGCGCGCCTGTGATGACCTGTCTCCCGTGTCGCCCTCGCAGGGCGGAGACGGCCGGGGCGGGGCCGGGGGCGTGTATCCGGGCGAGACTGCCCGCTCGCGGACCACACCCTTTATGGGCGTCATTGACAAGACGGCCCGGACCCAGCAATACCTGCACCAGCCGTCACGGCCATGGGCAGTGTCTTCGCTGGACACGGTCATCACCAGCCCCACTTCCCCAGGGAACCTGGTGCAGTCAGGGGGTGTCAGCTCAGCCTATAGCAGCCCACCCACCTCGCTGGGCAACATCGCGTACTACAACAAAACCAACAACGCCCAGAACGGGCACCTGCTGGAGGATGACTATTATGCCACACCGCAGCCAGCACCGCCTGCCTCACTAGGCAAGCTGGCCAATGGCTCGCGGGGGGACATTCTGGAACGGGTGAGCCAGGTGCCCACCTACCCCGACGTGAAGGTGGCACGGACGCTGCCGGTGGCACAGGCCTACCAGGACAACATGTACCGGCAGATGTCCCGCGATTCGAGGCAGGGGCCCACCTCCCCCATCAAACCAAAGAGACCCTTCGTGGAGTCCAACGTGTGAGAGCATGGCAGTGCCGGAGCGGGAGGGGGGCGGTGGGCGGGACGGGGCAGGGGGGGTTCTGCTGCTGATGTGGGGAAAACAACAGCACTTAGTGACGGAGTGTGAAAGTCCCTACACTTCACTCTTGGTGTGTGGGTGGGGGGGCTTAACATGCATGCTTTGGAAAATGGGCCCCCCACGTGCACAGTATCCAAAGCATCACACCTGCAGAATGGGGGGGGGGGGGACTTTTTTCTAAAGTACGGACCTGCGGATGCTCGTCTGGATTAAGCGTTGGGAAAATGAGACTGATGTTCATTCTTTTTCTTTTCAAACCTTACGAAGGGCTGCAGTTAATCTCGGTTCAGCTTGAAACGCACGCGCAGTGGGACAAGCTGCAGATTCTCTTGGTTCTGGAGCCGCTGGTCCTTAACCCTTCTGACTCAGAAGCCTTAGCGGGTTCCGCCGGGCTCTCCCCCCCCCCTCGTCCCCCCATCCGTTCAAGATCGCGGTTGTCGGGCTAAAAACGAAGCCCCCATTATTTATCTGGGGAAGATGTACTCTCAGCGGGAAACACGTGCTACGACCCCAGATAGCGACACTCTGTTCCATCAGAGATTGGATTGTTCTATACTGTAAATGTAACAGAAAAAAAGACAAATTACTTAAGACAAACCTGTACTTAGAAGAGGAAAAAAATAATATTTATAATTTTAAGTTATATAAAATGTATATAGATACATATACATACTTTCAGTTTTGTTTTTGTTTCGTTCGCTTTTGTCTGTTAAACACGTCTGAAGAAGGTGACTTGGGAAGCGTGATGAGGGGACATCTACAAACTCCGCTTCTTGCCTTCTGCACTTTCTTCCTGACGGGTGTATTCTGAATTACCTTTCCTTTTATTTACGCTGCCCGGTCCAGAGCCTTGTCCTTACCTGACGTCCTGAAGGCCCCGGGATTTACGGCATCAGAGGCTGCGGCCCCGCCCCGCCTCGACCCGCTTGGCTTCTCCCGAAAGCGCTAGATCTCTTGTGTCGTATTAAATCCGCTCAGTGGGCAACCGGTGTTCCGATACCGATGTACCGATACCGATGTACCGCGTGAGACTGCGACACTGAAGTGCAGGCCATCTCGGTTCCGGGGAAAGGTATTCCATCGGCACCCCCTGACCTCCGCGCAAAGGCTGGTCTGCTTTTCGCTGTCTGGTTCCATTCCCGTTCGTACACTAGGAAACTCTCCATTTTCAGAGCCACGTGCAGTTGACCTTGGAGATGTCCCTTTAGCACTTAGGAAATACAAGAAACGCAACAGTCAGTTGAAGTAGTTTAGCACCTGAAAGCTATTTTTTGCAGGAATACAAACCACTTTTACAGAAGAAAGGCTTTGATCATGTGAGAGTCCTTATCTTCAGTTTCATTTGTTACTTTTTTTTCTGTTTCTGCACTAAATGCCTGTGAAGTTCTGACGTAAGGGTGCACTTTAACATTTATTACGTTATTATTATTATTACGATTGTTTTTTTTTATGTTTTCTGGTGGGTTAGGGCGTCTTCTCTGACTAACAATGATACTGGAAAATTCTTTGTGAGTAGTTGTTCTTATTACTAGCAAATAGCGAACAGTTATTGTCTTTGGTGGAGTTTTTATTTTTCATGCAAATAAACGGAAAATAATTTAAAAAGAGCAAACAAAATGTCTAAACGAATGAAAATGTATTGCTTTTATAGCACAACCTGTACCTGCTGTATATACTGGCCAAAACGCCCCCCCCCCCACTCCAGTTAACCCTCCCACTGTTTCCACGGTGATGACCCTTCCTTAAGATGCAGACCACCACAGCCAAGGCCTACTTGGATCCAAACTGGCCAATGTAGTTCCCTGTACAGCATTATTAGAACTACAACCCTAAAGTATGTCCGTATAAAGGTCCCTTTTAATTATCCGGGTGTCCAAGCCTACTTTGTGAGCAGGTTATTTAAAAAACAGGTTGGCGTACAGGGTTGCTGTCAGTGGGCGATATGCCCGGGTAGGCGTACAGGGTCCTTCACATGCTGGCATTCGGGTAGATCCCCCATCTCCCAGAGTTGAGGTCGTATAACACCTGTCACTCACTCTTTTGGGGGCTGACCAGGGGAGTGCAGGGGGAGCAGACACTGACACAAGGGCCAGGCTTGTCGTTCGATTCGCTTCTCTTCCGTTCAACGTCCAAGTCTGCATTAACTGTCCTTATGAGTGAGTAGATTTGAACTCTGCAGACTGTGACTTCCTCCTCTTTGGCATCATGCCAGGCATGAAAATCATTGAGAGAGCAAACAAACAAACAAACAAAATCTTAATCCACGCCCAACCACACAACCGTGGCCTACTGCAACCAACAAAGCCTGCTTATATGGGTCCAATTCGGCTTATTTCTGAGGTGGTGACGCAGACGCAAAAAGCCAGTCTAGCGCTTAAACAGCTTATGGTTCTAACTACTTCACTTCTTTCATTTGTTTTGTTTTTTTTCCACTGCTGGATAGCTAATAACTATGTATTTCTTACTGTTTTTTTTAATGATGAGAGAATGAAGTTTCAGGTGCCATTGTACGTGCTGGTTGGTGTGCTGAAGAGGTGCTGAGCAGTGAGACATTTCAGGCCACTGTGCCGTCAGAGTCGGGGTCTTGGACGCCTGCCGGTTACGGCCGGAATACCGTAGAGAAGCCTTAGTGATCGGACACACCGCCAACGGCAGAAGGTGCTAGATCCTGAGTAAAAACATACCAGAGAGGATCTGATGCTTGGCTGTCCTCTTCCGAAGAGAGAAAAACAGGCAAATATGAACTATAACTACATTTTCAGTGATGGACATTAAGACGAAGGATATTTTGGGGTGTTTATTATTATTATTATTATTATTTTTTTGTAGACTTCCAATGTAAATGACTTTTTTTCTGTACATACTTGATGCATGTTTTGTTCATTATTCCAGTTGACACACACACACGCACACACACACGTATATATAAGTATATATATTTCCTGGTTTGTGATATCAATATCGTACTGACGTAGGAGGAGGGTTAGGGACTGGGGCTGCAGTCTGTCCCAGTTCTCCTCTCTCCGGCCTCACCGGACAAACGCAGGTCTTTGGTTTTCTTTTATTTTTCTATGAGTTGATTCTGATTTCAGTGTATTCGCTTGCTGAGCAGAGTTGCTCTTGTCTGTAAATGTGAACTGTCAGATTGCTGTGATAAAGTTTCATGAAAAGCCCAATAAAAAAGAATGCGTTTTTATCTCACGAAAATGACCGTCTTTTGTGCAGTCAGAAGGCTCACCGGAGCAGTACCCCCATCTGCGTGTCATTTCTGGTTCAGACAGCAGCGCATGAAGCAACTCACCCGAATGCTGCAAAACTGACATTTTTTAACTGGTCAAAATAACCCATAAAATAAACCTTCAGCTGCTTACTGAGTTGCAAAGCCTGGAGCTGTTACTCTTTATTTAAGGAGAATGTGGTGGATTCCTCTGCCATACTCTTCATAATATTGATAATTTTCTGGTCTTATAGTTTGGAACTCACTCTCATATGAAACGATGCCATTTTTCTGTGACTTGCGGATATCGTAGCTCATGGTTCCCTACAGTGTCTGACCCCAGAGAACTCAGATCTTACTCGTATTCGATAGCCAAAGTCATTTCTGCAAGTCGCCAAGAGGCTATTAAAGAGGTTTTAAATTCTCACAATTCTCTTTCGTCCTATTCAGCAGAATATGTAAATGTAATAGGTGCTTAAAAAAATGCTCTCCTGCACTCGAGAAACATGTGACTGAGTGAATTTGCATCATAGTGTGTTTGTCTGTGTGTTTGTCCTGTGATAGACTGGTGCCCCCTACTGGACGTCCTCTGCCTTGTGCCATGTGTTTCCTGGGTCAGGCTCCAGCACATTTTGACCCTGTACTAGAAAAGCGGATGAATAGGTGCAGCTCATGTCCAAAATACATTTTACCCATGGGTAAATATGGGTATACCTAGAACTACCAGATAAGTAAATCCATTCTGCTGTATTTTATAGGGAATAATTTTCATAAAAATTTTTACTTCGTTAGGTTGATGATTTCCTACATAATTAGTCCATCCATCCATTGATTATACCTGCTTGCCCTGTTCCGGGTCGCGGGGTCCGGAGCTTATGCTGGAAGCAACGGACGCAATACAGGGAACAGCCCAGGACGGGGTGCCAGCCCATTGCAGGGCACATATGCAGTTAAGAATATTATTATTAATTTGTTAAACATTAATGTATTATTAATACTGTATTATAAAATTGAGGCTAACGAATTTGTAATATCCATTTATGAGCCATTATTAGGGTTTAGAATTTGAGCAATGATAATTTCGCATAATTTTATGAAAGTATGACTGTACAATGTACTTGTTTGTTTTGTAACCTTCTACTGCAAGCATTCTACCACACTATAGTCCTTGTTGAGCTCAAGAAACATAAATATTTACAGTCTATGCAGTCTATACCTCACAGTACTCGCATTAAGCAATACTAATCCAAGATCTCACCTTAAATAACCCATCTGACCACCTGACCCATGTTGGCTCTGCCATAGGATGCTTCTCTGTGTCCCTGATTTCCATTGCACATAACTCACACCCACAGATTCAGAATTTTTCTGTTGTCACAAATGATAGACAAAAAGCTTTTATTTGAAGGCCTCATGAATGTAAAGCACTCAATCCAAACCGATACAGATATTTTTGAGTGATGATAACTCAAATGACTTTATAATAAAATACAGCTAGAAAACACAGTCACATCAAGGTTACAGCAAAGTGAAAGATATGAATACACTACTGCAGCAATGGATCCATTAGCTGGTACAATACATATATGTCATACCCAAATTTGACCACATGAGGGCAGTATATGTATGATCTTCATTGTGTTTAAATGATCTGGCAGGCAGGGCACCAAGAAAGGAGCTTAAGGGGAATTTGGACTTTCCCCTTCTGTCAGGGTCTTGAAGTGCATGGATAATGCCTCTTCCTCTGGGTGCAGTGGTCTCCGGAAGTCTTCCTTTGTCACAATGTATGCCACCACCACCCCAAAGCCCACCAGCAACAGCCCCAGTGTGTTGGCCAGCACACCCTCCGGTGTAAATTCTGAGTATGTCGGCCTGGAGACAGAGCAAAACGAGATGCATCTGAGCACAGTCCGAAGAACAGAAACTTCTGTAACATCACGGTGAACCTGGCCCGTGTCGCTGACTCACGTGATGGTGAAGAGCAGCTTCTCTGTGATGCCCAGCAGGCAGGTGGCGACGGCCAGGGCGAGAAGGGCCAGGCCGAAGAAGACGTGCAAGGAGAGGTAGCAGTGGCGCAGCCGCTCGGAGACGCCGCCGAAGAGGAAGAAGCTGAGGCCCAGCAGCCACTGTGGGAAGGAGGCAGTGCTACAGACGCCCAGAGAGGCAGCACACTGGCTGTACGCGGCCTCTGCTGAGCCTGGCCTGCGGAGCCAGGGTCACATCCGCCCGATTCATATCAAAAGTGACAGCCGTCATAGATAATAGGTGCATGCTTCATATCTCCTGATCTGCCTCAAACACAACCTCAGCTGTAAAGTACCATGAAAAAGAAAATCCCATCCTTCTAATAAAGCGGTAATGCTCAGTCCTGGTCCTGATCCTGGCGACCCCCCCATGCCAGGATGTTTTCATTCCAGCCCACACTTCTTTCAGCCTGTGAAGGACCATATAAGTCTGACTGAGGTAGAGTTGGGATGAAAACATTCTGGCCGGAGGGGGGACAGGAACAGCATTGAAAAGCATTGTGATAGAGGAACATGAGAGAGTAAATAAGAGAAGCGTAGTGATGCTGCTTATTTAGTAAGGATGGTCCCTGCAGCAGCCAGTGTTCTGCCTGAGACAGCCGCCACCCCCTTATGCTCTATAACTGGCTACTGATTGGTTACCAGCAACAGCAGCGTCCAAAGGCTTCCTGTGCTTAGTGATGACATCACACAGCTGTGCATGTATTTTGGCTACATCAACTCCCTGATGTTTGTAGGTTTATGAGTATTAACTACTGAATTTAGGGTTTAGACTCATTTTCTTCATCCACGCCTTCTGTCTCAGAAATTGGTCTCAGATCATTGTCCTGCTGTGTGTTTCAGGCAGTCTTCAGCCTGTGGGTTTATCGTCAAATATAAGGTTCCTTCATAAGGGTGATTCATCCAGGTCCTGATGTAGCGAGCATCTGTGATGTTTCACCATTGTTATGAGGGACGTACTGTGAAGTACCTTATTTGGACTTCCCTCAGCCAAAATGTTGACTTGTCTGTCTATTGAGGAACGATCCATATCTCTTCCACACATGTAATTGGTGACTTCAGGCAGATGCCTTTGGATGTCTTTGTTCTTCTGTCGTGAATATTTCCAGAGCATCTGCATGAATGTGGGCTAAACAAATCTGGCCTTTAGCAGAAAGAAGAGGGGGCACCAGACCCCCCAGTGTCGTTCTAGGGTTCTTTGTGAATTCTGTGACAAATTTAAACCTCGTTTTTGATATTTTGCCAGGATGGCCCATCTACCAGGGTTGATTCAATACATTTTCGATTTTTGAACATTGGACATTTGGAAAAAATAGGCCTGACTGTGGTTTGCTAGAGCTATCGATTTGGAAGATCTTTCCAGACTGATAGGAATCTAGCATGGTAACGTCTCCTGTTCAAGATGATTTAACATTCCACAGCATTCCTAGTCTTATGTTGCCCTAGTCCCAACTCTTTTGGAATGTGCAGCAGGCACCAAATTCAGAATATATATTTTTTTTAAAAACAATAAAGCTGATAAGGTTCATCGATCCATCCATCTATCCATCCATTCATTCCTTCATTCTCCACTGCTCATCCAGGTCTGGGTCGCTGGGTCAGCAGTCTGAGCCCAGACCTCCCTCTCACCATCCACCTCCTCCAGCTCCTCTGGGGGAATCCCAAGGCGTTTCCAGGTCAGTCCAGAGATATAATCTCTCCAGAGTGTCCTGGGTCTGTTCCGGGGCCTCCTCCCGGTTGGACATGCCCAAACATCTCCCCAAGGACCCGCCCAGGAGGCACCTTAGAGAGATGCTCAAACCACCTCAGTTGGCTCCTTTTGATGCGGAGGAGCAGCGCCTCTACTTTGAGCCCTTCCCGAATGTCCGAGCTCCTCACCTCTGAGCCCAGACACCCTACGGAGGAAACTCATTTCTGCCGCTTGTATCCGTTATCTCATTCTTTCAGTCACTACCCAAAGCTCATGGCTATAGGTGACGGTAGGAACATAGATCAACTGGTAAATCGAAAGCTACTCCTCCTGACTCAGTTCTCTCATCACTATGACAGACTGGTGCAACGTAACTGTTTTTTTGTATTTTTCCCGTTATCAGTTTAAAACGGGTCAAAGAGGATTTACAAAGCACTGCTTCTGTTTTCATTTACATTTAACATTCTGTTCCAACTTCTGTGGCATTGGGGTTTGTATACTAGTGTTGTAGTCAAGACCGTCTAAACCGAGACCAAGACATTGCCGAGACCGGAGGGTATCAAGACCAAGACACTGCTGAGACTTGAGGGTATCAAGACCAAGACCGAAAACAGACTAGGGCTAGAATTGACATCACATTACTCAGATCAACTGTAGAGAAAAAAGGCATTGCTGTAAAGTGTCATTACTCGTTAAATCAAATTCATGTTAACTTTTCAATCATATTGTCCATATGTCTCTCATTTAAAATCTCCCAGATTTGTCATAGTTACGAGGCCTGATGGAAAATAATATTCTCAGCAATCCTCTCCTATAACCATTTTATCAGACCTCGTCAAGGGAAAGAGATGGGATGTACCAGAAAGATGTTCATATTAAGTCTCTTATACCAGGGACAGAGGCCTCAGGTAAGCTATGAATACCGCTATGTAATGATCCTTTGCTTTGAATTCAAGAGAATGAGCCTCCAGATTGACTTGCACCTCCAAGACCGTGCTTTCTAATCAATGTAAAATACCTAATTTATTTGAATTATAACTATGCTATAGACTTCATGGACATTGTTGGACATTTCTTTGCCGACTTCGCTATGATGCGATGTGTATGATGTGTGTGGACTGTGAAGCACTGGCAGTGTCCGTTGAGAAAATGTATACAATGTGACGTTTTTAAAATAGATGCATCTGACTGGTTGCATTTGAATTGAGGCGCGTAATAAATAATGATACTGTTCTGTGAGGATGTGCCGTTTCCTCTTTTTTTCCCCATGCCATCGAGACCGCTATGTCCGAGAGCAAGACAAGACCAAGACCAAATAGAGTCGAGACCAAGACAAGACCAAGACCACAAAAAATTGGTCTTGAGACCGGTCTCGAGACCGAGACCGGTCTCGAGAACTACAGCACTATTGTATACTAACATTATCCACAAAAGGATCTTTGTAAATGCTGGTGGCGGTAAATACTTCTTTACGGCACTGTACAGGTCTCCTACTGTGAAGCCATTTACATAAAGCGTTTATAGCGGAACATACATTTATTTAGTTGTATTTGTATGCAGATGCAGTGTACACACCACTTTAAAAATTCCCAGGCTTGCAAAAATGTTTCTAAAAATATGCATAATCTTTTAAAGACGGAATGCATTATTGTACCCTTAGTTTTTATGCAAATGAATAATGGTAATAGAATGCTAAATACAGTCCAAGTTTGGGCCGATCCATGACAATAGGAGGAGCAAAGAAACGGAAACAGTGGCTCGTACCTGCAGACAGAAGAGGACAAATGTCAGCATTCCACACCAGCTGTGCAGGGAGTACATGCTGGGGATCTTGGCACTCCGATGGAAGTCAAACACAGCCACAAAACCTTCACAGAAGAGCAGAGAAACAACTGAGATAACACTGCTAACTGACCAAAACCTATAGGGGCTTAGAAGGTATCAGGTATGAAATAAAGAAAATGTTTAGAACCTACCTGAAACAGAATAGAATGCCTTATTTGTTATTGTAACATTTTCATTGTAACAATGAAACTCAATGTGTGTGATTACCCAGTGATGCTTTGAGATACATGTCAATTTTAAGAAAATTTTAAATAAATAAACAAACAAGAATACAAAGTATTAAAAATATAAAAGAAATAAAAAAGGTAAAGAAAGTAACTGCTCTTATGGAATACTGCAGCATGTTTATGGAACATTTACATATTGTAGGTAAGCGTATTATTGTAGTGGGTGCTTCCTGAACTACATACTATAATTACTATATATACATACTGTAAGGTACTTAAGCAAAATAGCCTAGAAATATTATTAGCAAAAATATGAAAACATAACAGTAAAAAATGAAGGGCCAATGTGCTTCAAGAGGGAAAACAACATTTGTATATGTTATTTCTGACAAATCACTGATCTCTTGCGGATATGGTGCAGAGATAATGATTAGAGACCTCAGACCATGCGTGTCAGACACCTCCACGCTTGACCCAAGCAGATCAAGCGTGATTCAGTCAAGAGAGCGGGCAGGTGAAGACGGCTTGCATAGCTGCACGCGCCCCACAGTAGCGCTGCCATCCCGGCTTACCCACGATGCTGATGACGAGGGCGATGAGGTGGAGGGCAGCATGCAGAACCTTAACGCTGCGTTTGGCCTCATTCCGGAACACCCGGTACACCATGATAGCTGGAGTAAAAGAGCAGATCACACTGAGGGTCCCTGCTTTGCAGCGTGGGAACTGCCCTCAGGACCAAGAATCTGTTCTGTTTCTAACACAGTTACCAGGGACACTGTTGGGTCAAAGGGGTCAGCAGAATTATATTAAAAAAACACTTGCAGAACAAATGGGAACCTACATATAGAACCTACAGCTTAATTATACCTGTATCTACACATGATATTTACCTTCTGTTCATCTGTAAATTTGGAAGAATCTGGGTTAAATAAAAACCTCAGGTATTATTGACTCTAAGACAAGAAATTCCCAGAAACATCAGTGGCACACAAGGTTAAAGTGTCCTTTCTGAGAGATAGAAAAGAAACGCTTGAAATACACAGTGCCCTGCAAGGCCTAGAAAAAGGTTATTTCTATTCAAATTGCAGATCTTGGACTGACAGATGAGTTCTGGTTAGTTTGAGGACAGCACCCCAACGGGACCCTGAGATAATGGTGTATTCGTGCTACATCCCTATGCCTGGGGGCCACTGCTAATGTCATCTGTTTGTCCAGATTGTCTAAGCGTGATGCGTGGATGACCCTGCGCCCTTTAAAGGTTAATCCTACAATAGAATTAGGGAGACAGAGCTGCAGACCCATGAGTTTTGACTGATGCAATCAACCCAATTGCCGCAAACGGTTTTCTTAATTGGCCGCTGTTGGGCTTTTCATTTGACATGTAAACACATTTTCTAGTAATGGCCATTCAGATAAGAGAAGCAGATTTCATTATAAATATAACTACTCGCTCAAGGCTCACTGCGAGGTGCTTTATTGAGGACAGCTGTGGTACTCATTTATTTGTCTATCTATTTAACCAATAAGATTCAAGAGACCGTTGCTAGGTTATAAATATGGTCACAATTAAGAGGAGTTCGTTGAATCATCGCTACATGGGTTGCCATACAGCAAAGAGGTGAAAAGTCATCATCATCACTATATCAATTGCTAACACAGCTTTGATCATATTCCAGCCAATTAGACTAGAGGAAAACAAGCTTATTTTGATATGAAGGATGACAACACAGCACAGATACAGATACAGCTTCTATTTGTAAAAGGCAATAATAAAAACGAGTCCCACATGTGACCAAAGGTTCTCTTTCGTAAAGAATCGCACCACTATGAGAACCATCCCATATGAGTCCACTGAACTGCACTGAACCATCCTCAATGGGAAATGGAGCTCAGGTGAATTACTTGTTTTGTATAAAGAACCTTAACATCAGTCAGCTCCCCCAGTTCCTCTCAGAGTTCTCCTACACACACCGGCAACCTGAACAGAACTAAATCAAATCTCTTCGTCTCCAGTCTTGGTAACCTTATTATCAGCCACTTCCTGTTGCTGTGCATGTTATTTGGGCTGCTACTGGGCCACCCCCCCAAAAGCCCAGGCTTTGATCCTATCAGTGCAAACCCTCTGATCTCCCAAGACATTTATTTCAAATGGCTCGGCGCGACGGAGCTGCCCACTAATTGCCTCGCCGCTCCTATGAACTCCGAGCTGCAGCCTGTGAAGCAGTTTGGCTGTAACTGAGGTCTGTGCATCTTACTGAGGAAAGGGAAACCATTTCTGAAAAAGACTGGGCCTTCTACGTTTGGTCCTGTAGCCAAGTCCTGGCACTGGAAGTTTGAACAATTTGACTGTTGCAGCAAATTGCATGTTACAGATCAGGCTGGGTAAAGGTCAGAAGCACAAAGAGCTAATTTAGTTAGCTTTTTTTTTTAAGAGTGCTGTTTCGGAAAATGGACTTTTTATTAGATTGTCTGGATTTGAAGACCAACTGAGAGGAATGTGAGCCCTCGGGGTGAGCTGAGCTACACTTCTGCACCGAGAATGGCGTTGGGCCCATGCGGGCGACCGGTGTTGGGTCTAGAAGGCTACAGGGATACAGTGCTAACGACGGCGCTCCTACTGACCATCTCCGTACAGGAAGACCAGGCCCAGGACCATGCAGAGAGGGTGTACGTTAAACTCGTGGGTAGTGCCGTCCCAGGCATAGCCACCCCGGTAGTGTCCCATCCACACACCAGTGATAACTACACAGGCCAGTCCAAGGAGCTGGGAGCCAGCCACATACCAGGGGAGCCCCGGGGGACTGGCTTCTGTCACTGGGCTGTCTGCCATGAGCCTAGAGAGACAGGGGCAGAAAGTTCACAGCTCATTACACCACTATCCTTGTTGCGCACATCATTTAAACAGATCCTGACAATCAAAGAGAATTCAAACATCAAAGTCGTTAATTTATTACAGTACATTGTCACGTCTAACCTAATACCAATCCATGCCAGCCATTTCACTTATGAACACGAAAGTTCTAAGCTTGTTATTGGAATACAAATTACCTGATCCTAAAAAAAAAACAAAAGATGCAACCTATGTGAACTTTCTTTTTTGGTAGTTCGGAGATGGCAACATGACTACTTTCCAAATTGATGAGTTTTTGGCCCTTGGATGGTGTATTAAATACAACTCTGAAGAAGCCATTACGACCGGGGTTCAAGGACCATGGAGATAAAGAGGGGAGAAGAGGAGTAGACATATAAAACAACAGAACTTTCATGGATTACTCATTTATTAGATTTATAACACAAAATATAAACTAAAATAGCACACAAAACACATATATAAAGACAGATTATAGGTCTTACAGAAAAAGCATAAAACTCCTTTTAAAACACTGCAAACCATTGCTTTCACAAATTTAACCATATGGATGCTGAGAAAATTATAATATTTTCAATGCATTTTTTCCTAAAGACTAATAAGTAACATGTTTATATTTTACTTGGGTGAGCTTTGTTATTTCACACTTGATACACATTTTATAAATATATAAATTCAAATATGTACTATAAACTGATTCACTCAAGTTTAACATTTGATGTTTGATGTAACTTTTTCACTGCAGGCAACAAGTGGCCCGCTGTAATAGTCATTTTCGAATGTAACGATCATGCAGTCGGTGTGATCATCGCCAGGCAGACCATCATCGGCCCGATGTGGTCATCACTCAGACTGCAGCGTCGTTGCAGGGGCCTGAGACTTGGTCAATTACTGGCCCGCTTGCACCGCAGGAAGCTGGAAACGACCTCCTTGGTATCGCTGGAGACCGAGCGCTTGCACAAACACTACTTGCTATGAAAGGCACTCTGGCAAAACACACACTGTGTGTCTCAGCACAAATTAATACCCTCACCCCAGGAAATACAGCTATTCAGTCCAGGCAATGCGGTCCATAATGAGCCTGTTCACAGACAGACTGCTCAGCCTACACCTCGCAGTACTGTGACAGGGTATGGAACATACAGTACATTCAAATTGCCTACCTGTAATTCTTGGCAGCACCTGTTTGTTTTAAGAGGAGGATCCCAGGATCAACACCGGCCTGGCAGGCCTTCGCAGAGGTGCCTTGTACCGTTTCTCCCCTTCCTATTTATTTAGGCCCCGTTCACACTACAACCTTAAAAGCTTTTACAGTGATCAGAGTATGGAAAGGAAGCAGTACTAAGCTTTCCCCCCCTTCCCTGGGAATCTTAGAGACTGGACCCTGGCTTGAGCACCAGAGAGAAAAATATTTCTTTTTGCGACACAGTGGCACAGTTTAACGTTGACAGAAGACAAGAGGACACTCCCCTTAGTCAATACTGTGGCTCGTCTGGAAGGAGGGAGTGGCTAGATATTCTAGGCAGTGTTCTCAGAGCTTATTGGCTAGCAGAGAACATTGAGCCCACCCTGGTTTCTATGGAGACCTAGAGGGCAGGATGATTTGCTCACAGGTTGCTTTCCTGTTGAAGTGAGCTGGACTGATTATCTCTCTTTGTAACGTGTGTGTAATAGTGACAGCCATTCTGTTCACTCAAAAAACAAATATATCTATACCTGTATGTATGTATGTGATGTGTGTGTGTGTGTGTGTGTGTGTATGCAGGCACACACACATACACGCACGTAAACATCTGTATAAAACTGAAGATGGAGAAATACCCCATTATAATATTTTATATTTAATTTACTAATTGTGTATAGGTGATTATTATTAGCAGTTTTGAAGGTAATAGCCAATTTCGTTTTTCCCTTTCTTGCAAATGAATTCATAAATGTTCATAAAGGAATTTAACTTATCCCCTGGAGATATTTTGGTGTACAGTAGATAACACTTTCTGTCATTTGCACGGAAAAAAAACTTCATTGTTGAGCTCTGGTAATTGATTTCTATTTCAACTGGGGGTACTGAATTGAATGGACGACTGAATTTTCATTTAGAAGTGTTAACATCCAATTGGTATACTTAAATTTCGTTATTTAGGAAATTTAAAAATGCAAATGAAATTCGCTATTTATAATTCAGATTTTAAAAACCGAAATAGTTTGCTTTTTTTAGACTTTGAATTCACAAATCATCCTTCCATCGTCCAACTGTTATCCCAGTTCGGGCCACGTAGAGAATGGAGTGCCTTTTAAACCTAATTTGTTCGCTTTTTTTTATCTTAGTCGTTTGAATTCGATCGAATGTAGTTCTTGTCCCGACTGAATACAATCTCCACATATTACAATCTGCGTCATCTGCGTTTGGAATTACGGCTGTATCTTCTTTTCAGATATTTTCGCAGCAATTACTATCGGTATAATGGCAGCAGAAATTACATTGTGTTGTGGCAATATAAAACGGTAATGTAATAATTTAGAGAACGGCTTTCTTCTTGACAGTTAGCAACACTGACTCCATTACGAAAACAATGTATACAATCAACTGCGGAGTTAAGAGGGCCACTAGATTTCGTGCTAGCAAATCCAAACCCTAATTCATGAGGAGCCTCTGTGGGAAAACAGCGCATGTGCGTGCAGGAGTTTTCTGCTTTTTCAGTAAGACCTATAATCTATGACGTCTGATTTCTATCTCACGTTTCGGCAGTTTGACAGGATCGACACGAGACTTCAGCAAAAGTGAACCTATGGGTTACATTGCTGAATGCTGAGATGGGTCATATCAGCTGTGATCCTTGCTGAGACAATTAAGGGCCAAAGCTCTAGGCTATATAAGTGAGGCCAGTAATATTAATATTTGTGAAGCTGGACTGGGTATCTGTATGAGGAGAGTGAACTTACAAATATTATTACAGAAGCACTGTACCCGCAGTAGGAATTGTACAAATGCAAATAGCCTAATCATCTACGGATAGAAATAATTTTCTAAAGATTCCCCTGTAGGCTTATTTGAAGTAGGCTACTTAAAATATTTTTGCCCCGTTTTCACAGACCCATAAGGGTTTCTTTTCTCTCCAGTTTTTTCAAGGATGGATGAATTGTTAAGCAAAAGGAAAACTTTGCGTGGAAATAACGTTATGTTATTCTGCTCAGTCTCATTTATGATGACTTAATTATATCTTAACCACTAGAGGGAGGCAAATGTTAATGCAAGTTCAAAAGTTGCGTCGGATACGCTTTAGTTTTTCAGGCGATATCGAATGTCTCCTAACGAGAAAAAAAACTTAAAAACTTTGTCATGCTTGAATATATCCTTATGACTAATTGCCCCGTTGTGTATTGGGACACATTTAGGTAATTGCCTTGTTACATGACGCCTGTTTGTATAGAATGTCACATGTCATGCTGTTGAATTTGGGCTATTCATACATTCAAACCAAATTTTTCTTTTTTAAATAGATGGCCTCAGAGATTAGGTAACGTAAGTTGTATAGTACACCACAGTAAAATTCACTTGCGTTTGATGATGATGTTTTGTCATGATAGTGGCTAATAATAAATTACTTAAATAAATGAATGAACATCTACTAAGGTCATAACATTTCGTTGATATAATTGCAATAGTATGCTTAAAAATCTTATTGGGGTAAAATATGAGATCTTTGTATTTTCTTTTGGAAATATTTTTCTTCAGGATAAGATTTAGGTAAGGTGGCACCGAATCCGTCTCCCAACTGAGGATAAATCCTCAACATTAAAAAAAGAACTGCGTCGCTATGGAAACACGCTTATATTTTCTCCGTGAGGAATCAGATCCGCAAGACAGTTTCAGGGGTCACTTATACGAGAACAACTGAAAATACGGTCAATCATGTGTTGCCACTGAACCCCTGTCGAAGACTATATTACCGTCTGACAACTGATCTAGCAATGTTATGATTAGTACTTGTCCTCACAATCTGACAGCACTTATCAGTTATATGATCCGATGGGTTTATTAAAGCGCAACCCACTACTCAGATTTCAAGCCCCCACGGCATAGCTAAAAAAGTTATATAATATCTAAATTCACCCAAAAACAACTGAACAGATAATCAATATTAAAATCTGAGATAGACATTACAATATTTATTTAAGATTTGCTTGCACGTCTAAAAATCTGTTTGCTTGATCAAATAGCGAGTACGAGTTGTAGTTAACGGGGCAGGTAGGCTATTTGTTCATATTTCGTGTAATGATTTGCAGGCGGGCACAGCTGACAAATACCAGATTCGGGAACATCTGAGAAAATGTTATCCATAAACATTAAAAATGTTAACGGGATACTTTGAAGGATCGTCGCCTTGTATTACAAGAATATTTAAAATGGAATTATACGCTTTCCTTACAATACGTATTTTCAATCAGTACAAAACAAAATAACAACAACAAAAGAAAAAAACGTATTCAACACATTCGCTCGTCTGTCGCCTCAACGCTGATCCTGGGCACATACACGCACACACACTATGGGCATTATAAAGACATCAGTTAGCCTAAGTGCATTGCTTTGGACGGCGGAGAATCCGTGAAATACGAAGGACACGCGGCCATCACACAGAAGGCCTTCGAACCCACAACCCTGGAGGCGCAAGGCAACAGCACAACACACTGAACCACCAGATCATGCTTATGTGGTAGAGTAATCGGTTATGCAAATCAAATTGTGCGCTTTTAGATACACGTTAGCATGGTTATATTTGTGAACCATAACATTATTGCTGTTATGTCATTATCAAACATGCGATGAAATGGTGGAAGACTATCTGGTATTTAATCCCGACCTTCAATTAGCCTGTATCGACAAACCCGAAGACAAGCATATTAGTTTTGGATTCGAAAATATGGCACCAAGCAAGATGTCATTTGTTATTTAAAGTGACCAGTGCGTCATTCTTGGCAGGCTCCCTTAACTGCAGTAAGCTAGCTTAGGAACTCTTGACGTAACTATACTAGTGTTCTCATTCGCTTTGAGGAGAGGAATGACGTCTTTTTATGCGCTTATCCTCTTCCTGAGAGCTCCCCCTTTTAAGCGCAGGAAGGAATAGTATGTAATATTAGCGCGTTTGGTCATGCACAGCCGTGCTACTTAACATGCCGTTCAGGCGCGCAACCGGCGGAAACCATGGCAACCACCAAGACCCTGACACCACTGGTGCTGGCAAGCAAACAGCCGTGGCTGTTATCTTTATCCCTTTCGGACACTTCATCAGTACAACTTTAATAAAATGCATAACAGTCTTTATAATATTTGTTTGGACTGGATAAATGCTTTTGTGTGTGCATTATATGGCCGGTTACTGTCACCTATGTAGGCGGCGTTTCTCCACAACGTCTTATCTTATGTCAGGGTCTTAAGGCTTTTCAATGGGAACTCAGAGATTACAGTTACTATCAACTGCATTTTGGAAATGCGGCTAAACAGATTTCGAGGTTACAGAATTACACTCTCATGTATTGGCTAATCAATGGCTATATTTATATAAGTGGGAATAAATTTAAAGCTGCAATAAAACTTCAGACTATACTGCCATCTGTATTTCTCCATAAAGAATCTGGTCGGTAAAAATAAAGATATTGCCTATTTTTGCAACAGCGGCTGGAAATATTGCTGCCAGTTCTAATCAGTGAAATTTCACGGTGATGACTAGTTGAAAATCACAGACAACATGAACAGAACTTGCTGCCATAAACATTAAGCCCGTGAGACTCCGCGGTCTCAGACACGTACCCTGTCACCACGCCCATAAAAGAAAAGGGGCGTAGTAATATATACTAAAATACAGGGCGGAGCCCTGAGCAGCATCACGTGATCACACCAACGAAGGGCAGTGACAGTGGCCAATAACAGTTCGAATGACAGTCCGATTGTGTATCACGTGCCCTTGTTCAAACCAAAAGGAATTCAGATATCCAATTACAGTCGGAGCCGCAACCTTGGTTGATCACATGACCTCAACTCAAAAAACCGGAACTTGTGTTTTACGGTCTGTCATTGCGCGTAGAAACTACAAAGTGAAAACATACGAAACTTCTACGGGCTACTACAGTTTGATAGAAAGCAAATACTCTGAATGAAAATCCTTTATTCATCCATTATGTCAAATACTTGGTATCTGATTGGTGGGAATTTAGAAGCACTGACAGAAATCATCTTAATTGTGCTGAAAGTGTTATAGTTTATTAGAAACATCACGTGCTTATAATTTTTTAATTTTTCCAAAATCATTATATTCTGAAACATACGTTTAGATACTGCTAATTAGAACAATATAATAACGTATTTTATTTGTAATTAATTCAGTTAAGTAGGCGTCGGACTGCAAATATCGCGTTATTTACAACGTATTAAACAATACCTCTTCAAGTAACAACTATAAACAGGTCATTAACGA